AGACCGTGTCAACCTATGTAGTTGGAACAGCTAGCCCTACCTACAAAGCTAGCTGGGCCAACTGAGTCGGCTGTATCCCTGCCAGTCTTGTTGGTGTAACGGGCGAGGCAGTACAAACCAGGGCCGTGAAGGTCGGTTCTGCTCATATTTAAATGTACGTGAGTTGAGCGTGAGTGAAATTAAATTTTTCCTACCTTTTCTTGTAAATATAATAGCTTAGGTTTGTTGCAGTGAAAACATGGACCATAAATGATTTCTATTCTCCAGGGAATATTAATGGTTTCCTGTCATCTATCAAACCATTTTATATCCTTTTCCTAACCATATATCTCTCCCTATCTCTCTATCTCTACCTATAATATATACAGGGTGAGTCAAAAAGTGTGATTTGCGGCGCCTAGTGCAAAATTGTACCTTTTTTGTGCAACTCTCTTGCATGGTGTTTTTTCAATGTTTTTTGAAAAATTATAATTTTTTTGGGGTACTTTAATGGCCCAAAAATCCGCGAACCTTTTTTTCTCTCAAAATCAAAAGTTCAGAAAAACAAAAATGTGTAAATAAATTGTTTCTTTCGAAATATAAAATTTTAAAAAGATTGAATTATAGAATCTCAAAAAATGTGAAAAATTGTAATTAGAAAATTCGCAATTTCCAGTTCTGGTATGATTTTTACGGAAAAATTGTTTTTCAACGGTTCTGAAGGTTTTAACTAAAACGCGTATATTTAATATTTTAGCATATACTAAGAAGAAAGGAATTAGAGAATTTAATAACTTTTCCTTAAAAATTAGACCAGAACTAAAAATTGCGAATTTTGCAAATTCTTTGTGATTCTTTAATTCAATCTTTATGAAATTTCAGATTTCGATAGAAATAATTTATCAACACATTTTTGCTTTTCTGAACTTTTAATTTTGAGAGAAAAATAGGCTCGCGGATTTTTTTTGAGCTATTTATAGAGTACCAAAAAATTAAATTTTTAAAAAAAATATTGAAAACACCATACAGGAGAGTTGCACAAAAAAGGTACAATTTTGTACCAGCGCTGCAAATCAAACTTTTTTTGACTTACCCTGTATATATACAGCCAAATTTTTGTTTTCAAATCTTTTTTGTTTGTTTATTTTCTTGTGATTTTTCACAATTTAAAAAATTATCGATATTGATGGTTATTATCGTTAGAACTGACGAAGGTTAACCAAGACCGAAACATATTTTCAATAAATGTGGAACTAACATCTACTTTTTTTACTCTACAGAGGTTTAAATATATATATATATATAAATATATAAATATATATACATATATAAATATATACATATATATATATATTACATATCAGTTGAAACACAACAATCTTCTTATAACATTATTATTACTTTTATATCTCTTTTTACACATTTATCTCTTTACCAAACGGTTTCTTATCCTTTTCCTTATCTCTTTATATCTCTCTCTAGATCTCTCTATCTATTTCTATGTATTATATAGTGTTTAAAGAAATTTAACTACTAAGGATCGCCTTGAGACGTGAAACATTATGTTCAGTATAATTGTTTTTTGAATAAAATTTGCAGTTTATAAACTGAAATATAATGTATAAATAATATATATATATATATTTATATATATTACATAAGCTAAAAAATGATGAATAATATATATATATATACATATACATACATTTATATATTACATATAAGTTTATCTATATTTAACGAACTAAAAATATATCTATCTGTCTATCTATCCTTCTATCAAATCATCAGTACATTATCAGGCCCAAACTTTATATAATGGCATCTAAGTATCTATCAAAACATTTTCTACGTCCACTCATCACCAACCTTTTATTCTTTATGAGTTCTAATCTCAACCCACTGCACAGTAACCGTAATTTTAAATTGTGCCTGTATTTTTTCGACTGATTTGCAACGGTTTATCAGTAACTATAAATAACTTGTCACAAACTCTGTTTTCTAATCCCTTTATCGTTGCAACCTGACTATGTAAAAGTTTTGTTATTTGATATTGCAACCTTTTGAATATTTGATCTAAGTATGGGAGTCTCTGATAAAAAGTTGAATTTTCAATGCAAAATACGTTTTATTTAAAATATGTGAGATCTTCTATGAAATATGAGGAATCCCAGACAAATTATAGGGAGTCTGGCAGTGAATTTACGGTGTGGCATCTCTCACTGGTACCTTTAAATATATTTTCTGACCAAGCATGTATAAATCATAAATATTCTCTTTAATATATTGTCTGACCAAGCAGGTATAAATTATAAATCTTATCTTTAATATAGATTATTTTATCAGACCAACCAAGTATAAATTATAAATCTTATCTTTAATATAGATTATTTTATCAGACGAACCATGTATAAATTATAAATTTTATCTTTAATATAGATTATTTTATCAGACCAACCATGCATAAATTATAAATCTTCTCTTTAATATAGATTATTTTATCAGACCAACCATGAATCTTCTCTTTAATATAGATTGTTTTATCAGACCAAGCATGTATAAATTTTAAATCTTCTCTTTAATATAGATTATTTTATCAGACCAACCATGCATAAATTATAAATCTTCTCTTTAATATAGATTATTTTATCAGACCAACCATGTATAAATTATAAATCTTATCTTTAATATAGATTATTTTATCTGACCAACCATGTAAAACCGATATTTCCATTATCACTATTATATATTACTTTGCTGTTAATATTATTTGTTTCGTTATAGACTTCTTTAAAATGTCGTTTTTATAATCAGACTAAAGAAAACCACCAACAAGCAACTCTAGCTAAACGAATTTGCATAAACCTGCCAGATTTAAAATGAATTTTAATAGCTTTTTTCCGATAATATTACTATTTTCCTCAACCTGCTTGTATACATGCAGTAACTAGTATTTAATAGTATGTGTTACTTGTTTTGTCAATATTATACAAGAATTGTAAAAAAAAAATTCTGCTGACTGGTGAAATATTAAAAACGAACACTGCTCCTTAAAAATGTCGGATTGGTATAAAAAGAATCCTAAAGTTTTTCTGTACAATACTGCATCTTCAGTTCAAATATGTTACATAGCAGGTCACTCCCTTTAAATAAAATACGTCTGCAGTCCTTTCAATTTGATTTTTCTGGTCTTCAAAGTCTGTCTTTTCTAAAAGACTATATTGTAAATAGCTAAGGTAGGAGTTGTTTCGAGAAGTTTAATTCTCTGTGACGTACTGCATTACATCTGTCAGGAGGGGTTAGTTCTGTACACAGAACCTGGTAACTTGAGTACATAGTGCACCAATACTAAACTAAAAGGGATTGTTCTTGAATTTTTCATTGTGACTTTTAATTTTAATTTTAAAAAGAATATTTTTGCTAAAAGTTTAAAATTCATCAATACTTGATACTAAGATAAACTTTAAGGTGTAATGATTATCGAGCCTAGTGGTTTAACGAGGTCGAATATCTTAAATTAAAACATCAAAGTTAATCTACAACGCCTTAACTCGATTTTCAGAGCGGAAACTTTTTATTTGAGGTGTTTTTAGTGCTTAATTCGCTGACAACAGTCGATTTTCTACTTTTGCAATCCCAAATTGCAGATTTTTTTACAGAGATAATTTGGACTCTTATACAAAAAATTGAGGATTAGTCCATTCTGAAGGATAAACAATACAAAGTTCTGTCCTCGAGCATAATACTTAATTCCATGTTAGATTCATGGGACTAACATTATTATACAGGGCCGGATACCCACGAATTATGGAATTTCTGTAGAATACAATTTGGAAGGTTTATAAGTTGTCTTCAAAAATAGAAACCTTCATGGGTTTTACAAGTTTAAAAAAATAATAAGTATTTATTTTAAAAAGGGAAAACTAAAGAACTAAAAAACTATTTGTAAATTAAAAAGTATAAGCATAAAAGCATTTCGATAGTAGGAAAATGCTATTATTTTATACGATTTTTAGGACTTTGATACATGGTATTCTAGAGGTATGATTAGCTCAACCTAATAAAATATCATATTTTTATCTCATAATCTATATATAAATTTGGCTTGTCTGTCTGTCTGTTTGTCTGTTTGTTTGTTTGTTTGTTTGTATCCAATAAACGTCAAAACGGCTGAACCGATCGGGCCCAAATTTTTTGTGGGACATCTAGGGACTCCAGGGAAGGTTTATGAATCATCAAAATTTCAAATATTTGTCTCCATCAAAATTCGATCGTCATTAAATTTTTAAAAATTTTGAAAATCCGCGAAATTTTTTGTGAAAATCCGCGAATTATTTTTGTTTTGTTTTACGATGTACACAAAGAGAACATGTTCACAATTAATTTAGGAAATGGGCGCGAAGTGCCCTCTAAGGCTAGAAAGAAGGGCGCGAAGCGCCTTGAATTTCTAGTAAATTACAAAGCTAGAAGACATAACCCTTTAATTAAAAACTTGTCACATAAAGACATCCGAAAAAACATCCATTAAGATTAAAAATGATTGCAGGAATTAATCAAATATTGTTTATTTATAAAGCTTAACACATTTCAGTTTACAGCAATAGAGCTAAATCCACTGTGAACTATGACAGAAAGAGAAAGTCAAATACACGGGACATTACTGGTACAACTTTGAGACCTCGTAACTTCTCAAATTTTGATTTCATGTTGAAGAATGAGATTTTATGAAAAAGACTGAAAAAAATATCCAATCACATCTTGCAAATTAAGAACATTTTTGTTCTTCTCTGTAGCAATTCAAGAATAGAAGGTATAATCGAAAACATACAAATCAGATGTTAATCGTGCGTGCAATTTATTTTAACTTGTCGTGCCTCCGTTTTAGTAGGGGCATGTCCAATTAAATTCTCACAATTTACTCAATAGTTTCTGTAGCAAAAAACCGCAATAAAAAATAATCAATTTGGAGAGAAATAATTTAGCTTAGACTAAGTTTTAAAGCGTACAGTTGTGTATATATCGGACATACCTCTCTTTTTTACAGGGGGGGGGGGGTCACTTGAAATTAATTTATAGTTGTTAAACTGTTAAACTTACAAAATGAAGGAGCAAACGCTCTGTTATAGCCTGTAGTTAGTCACTTTACAAATTCTTTCTTCATAAATAGTTCGGTTTGGTGTTGGACTTTTGAAAGCTTCGTTTTTTTCTTCTCCTGCCGAAGAGGGGTAGCCAGTACGGTAAACCAGCTAAAGCTGTGTAAGCTAAACTAGCTGCTCCCATCCCCAGCACCTTAGGAACCTGGAACAACAAGATTTTAACCTTCAACTAGCAAATTCTGCAATGGTTTCAAGCTTGCGAAAAATTGAAAACTGATTGGAATCTTAATGCAAGGGGCACACACATAAAAAGTGTGACTGCCACAGGAACCCTATATGTATATTTTTAAAACTTTTCTTTTAATACATAAGTTCCATTTTCATCTCAAAACCGACTCTATATTTGTGTTTTCGAAGCGTCGATATCGCTTTGTGTTATTGCACATCAGTTCCGAAAACGTCGATATCGACTTATACCCATAGCTCAAAATGTAATAGAAAAATTTAAAAAAATTTAATTGTCCTATACATATTGGGTCCAATGTAAATAAAGTTCAAAATCTTAGCCAGGTCTGAGAAAAAATTGCTTTCGCCTGAAATAAAACCCTTTTTTAAAATCTTTTTTTTATTAATACTTATCCACAATACGAGTTTTTTGGGGACGGATATAGACAGAGTGGGATATAAAGAAACTGGAGAGTAAGATGAATTGTTTTATGTTACTTATAATAGTATATCTCCATTCAAAGATTTCTTTAAAAATTTTAATTTAAAGTTCAAAATCGTTAAAAACTGATGAAAACTAGTTAATATTTGCGAGCATGAATCCAACTTAGATATTTTTGTAACCACGGTCATGAGAATTTAAATTTAAATGTATTAGTCCAATTAACGGCTAGATAAACGATACATATTAATGGAAAACACAGCATAGATAATTTAGTTCCGTAAATAAAGTACTTATCAAGGTTTTCACTTAATCAATATGTTATAATGAAAGCTTGATGTAAATAATTTACAGAAATATTTACTTACGTTTCATGAAATTGTTAGCGCTCAGCCTTTAACGATATTTGTATTATTAACGGCACATGGCAGTTTAACATATTTATCCTTCTCTGAGGACTGATATCCAATTCAACTATATTTATCTTATGCTGAGGAGAGCCCAGATTTTGTAAACTAAAGACGACATTTTAAACTGTCAAAACACGTACATTTTTTTTACAAGTTAAATGCAATTTTTGGTTAAAAATTTTTTTTCCGAAAATCACTGTTTTAAAAAAATCTGTTCCGTTTTCGTTTTCAGACGTTAATTTTTGAAAACCTTAACGGAACATTAACGGAACTTTGCCCAGCCCTAAAAGTACACTTAAATGATTTTTAGCAAAACTTAATTCGAACAATTAACCCTTTAAAGTGACCCACGCACCCCCCCCCCCTCTCTAGTAGAATAGGTTTAGGGTTGAAATGCGTGTTCATAGCCCAATTTTTCAAGGCCAACTCATTGAAACAAATTTGACCGATAACTTTAATAGTTTGGGTGCTAAGAAGGGTTAAAAAAATTGTCAAAAAATTGTGAGATCAAGAAGTCAAGGTTTATGATGAGAAAGTTTTTACCATGCATTATTAGGTTGCAATGATATAAGGATTAGAAAATTAGAGATTGAAATGAGGTAATCAAAAAACTGCAAACCTGATTTGTAATAAGATTTAACAGAACTGAAGGAGAAGTTTCTGTAGTTGTTGATGCAGCTGTCGATGTTGATGTTGTTGATGTTGTTGATGTTGTTGATGTTGTTGATGTTGTTGATATTGTTCTTGCGGTTACAGAGGACGGGTTCTGGTTCGGTTGCTCATTTATTTTCTCTTCTAAGGAGATATCATGATTGGAATTTGGTAAAAGAAACTGTTGAGTCGTGGTCTCTAAATATTCTTGTGACTCTTCATCTGAATTTAAAACTGAGGAGAAAAAATTCAAGTTTTCTTTTTTGTTTGAACTGTAAGGTTGTGACAAATCTAGTCTCAATTGTTCAAAATCAGAACCATTTTCAGAATCATTGATAGAAGAAAATAGTGATTGATCCAGGGTTTCATTTCTAGGAGAAGATGGTGATAGGTCCAGGATTTCATTGTTAGAATATGGTGATTGGTCCAGGGTTTCATTGCTAGAAGGTGGTGATTTGTCCAGGGTTTCATTGTTAGAATATGGTGATTGGTCCGGGGTTTCATTGCTAAAAGGTGATGATTGATCTATGGTGTAATTTTTAGAAGATGGGGATTGGTCCAAGGTTTCATTGTTAGAAGATGATGATTGATCCAGGGTTTCATTGCTAGAAGTTGGTGATTGATCTATGGTGTAATTTTTAGAAGATGGGGATTGGTCCAAGGTTTCATTGTTAGAAGATGATGATTGGTCCAAGGTTTGATTGTTAGAATATGGTGATTGGTCCAAGGTTTCATTGTTAGAAGATAGTGATTGGTCCAAGGTTTCATTGTTAGAATATGGTGATTGGTCAAAGGTTTCATTGTTAGAAGATATGGTGATTGGTCCGGGGTTTCATTGCTAAAAGGTGATGATTGATCTATGGTGTAATTTTTAGAAGATGGGGATTGGTCCAAGGTTTCATTGTTAGAAGATAGTGATTGGTCCAAGGTTTCATTGTTAGAATATGGTGATTGGTCAAAGGTTTCATTGTTAGAAGATGGTGATTGGTCCAAGGTTTTATTGTTAGAATATGGTGATTGGTCCGGGGTTTCATTGTTAGAATATGGTGATTGGTCCAAGGTCTCATTGTTAGAATATTGTGATTTGTCCATGGTTGCATTGCTATCAGATGCATGTGATTGGTCTAGGATTTCATTGTTAGCAGATGGTGCGCCAATCAATGAAAATTTATTTCTTTCAAGCATCTCATTTGATAAAATCTTCAGAGCAAGATATTCCAATAAATCTGAAGCTGACATACTTTTAGTAAGAGTATCCAATTGATCTTTAATTGATGTAAAATTGTCTTTCCTATTCTCAGTCTCTTGAAGGTTTTTAACCTCGTGATATTCCGACTTTTCTCTCAAGGTTAGTTTATCAATTGAAGTTAGATATAAGAGGTTGTTGATATCATGTTGTTGCTGTATATCCTGGAATTTCTTGGAACCAAAATGTTGATCATCTGTGTTGTTGTTTTTCTGTGACGTTTTTAATTGATGTTGATTAACGGTCACGGAAGAGTTCTGGTGTTGATTTATTTTTTCTTCATTTCTTAATTTTTCATACAAGAAACTATTTTCTGAAGACTTTAGTTTAGAATTTTCATATTCATGAATCATTTCTTGCAATCCTTCATCTTGGAGAGCCTCACTCCGGGGGCCCTCGGTTTTCTGCTTAATTGATAAATTCTTATTTTTGTTAAAAATCGTCTGGTTGTTTAGTGTTAAAGTTAAAGGACTAATGACTGGATTTATGTCACTATTTTCATCAAATTTCAACAATTTGTCATCCTTATCAATGGTTAGATTTCTGTTTACTTTTTCAAATGAAACTGTGCCATTTTTAATATGATTATTGACAGCATTTAGAATGCCAACTGCTTGATATGACTTTGACGTTTGTTTCTCTTGAACAGGTTCTATACTCGACGTAATTGTATTTGTTTCTCGAAGGTTTACATCTTTTAAATATTGTTTCAGTTTGGGGAATACATTATTTGTAAAAATTTCTTTAATTTTGAAATCTGATCTTGAAATAGTATTTTCTTTCTCTTGATTATTTTCTCTCACAAGCAGCGTAGGACGACTTTCTGTTGAGAATGAGACTTGAGCAAAATCTGGTGGAAAATTTGGACCAAAATTGGTTAGTGTTTTATGATTTGGTCTTGTTTCTACTTTAGACAAATCAATAAAAATGTTTGGCCCTTCAGTAAACTGTATTTTAGTATTCTCGTTTGATTTATTTTTATCCAGAAAAAGGTTGGAAGACGACGTCAAAACACGTTTTGACGGAATATCACTGACAGGTCCAATATTGAAGGTTGTAGTTTCTCCGGTGGTAGGCTTATCATCTAGGCTCAATTTAAGCTTCTCCGTTTGTCGCAAGCTCCCTGAATTAAGCTGTATTAGAATTGTACTGTATATATTTGAATAAAATTCAAATAAGAGAGGCAAGGTTCGGAAGCGGAACAAATATTGCAATGATTCTTTAAAACAGATTTTGCTAAATCCATTCAGGTGGTTTCATCTTTTCATTAAACCTTTATTTTTATGACTTTTTTAACATAATTTTATTTAGTAATTAAATACCTCAACCGTTTTCATAAATCCTGTATAGGTCCCCACCTTCCCTTACATCTCGACCCCCCCCCCTCACAACCCCAACCCCTTTTTATCATTCTCTATCCCTGATACTTCCCTTTATTCCCTTATTATTCCCTCCCATAATTTCCTAGTTAACACTCAAATCATCCCAATCAGCCCCGTTCCACGTTCTTTCCTCCCACCATTCAAACATTATATTCTTCCATTATTTCAACATGATACCCCCCTCCCTCCCATCATTCTAACATCCTACCCTCCCATCATTCCATTATCCTACACTTCCATCATTCCATCATCCTAACCTCCCATCATTATCATCCCATCCTTCCAATATTCTGATATTCCTCCTCCCATCATTTGAACATCCTTCCCTCCCATTATTCCAACATCATTCCATCATCCTACCCTTCCACTTTATCCTACCCTCCCATCGTTCTAAATCTACCCTCCCATTTCAACATCTTTCCCTCCCATCATTTCAACATCCTACCCTCCCATCATTTCAACATCCTACTCTCCCATAATTTCAACACACTTCACTCCGATCATTTGAACACCCTTCTCTCCCATCATCCAACATCCTACCCTCTCATCATTTCAACACACTTCACTCCAATCATTTGGACACCCTTCTCTCCCATCATCCAACATCCTACACTCCCATAATTTCAACATCCTACCCTCCCATCATTTCAACACACTTCCATCCGATCATTTGGACACCATTCTCGCCCATCATCCAACATTCTACCCTCCCATCATTTCAACATCCTACCCTCCCATCATCCAACATCCTACCCTCCCATCTTCATCTATCTTCCAACACTCCTATTATACCTTGTCTTTTCCTCCAATTATTTAAAATCCCTTTCCTTCCTGCAATCTCTTATTTGCCATTCTTTCCTCCCTATACTTTCTGCTCCTTCTCTAGTTTCCATCCCTCCCCCTTTCCTACCATCATTATGTCCTATCCTCTCACCCAAATCTCACATACTCCGTGCTCTCTCCCCTCATTATCTATCACGCTGTATTTTTATCTCATTCTTTCCTCCAGCCGATCATTCCCTTATCCTTCTCCCTTCTAACCCATCTCTCCTCTTCTTGTGTGTTTCTGTTATGCTAATAAACGTTGTGATAATTATGATGCTGTGTTCAAGGCTCAAGTTATAAAGAAATGAACTTTAACTATTAATTTTTGCATAAAGTTGAAACTTTAGACATTTTCTTTTTTGGGGGCAAAACTTTAATTTCTTTAAAATAATTTATTAGACATATATAACTTATTTCAGTGTAATTACCAAAACTTTTTGTTACTATTATTATAGTGTATATTACGGTGTCCACAAATGCTTACATAAAATTAAAACTGGGCATTTAGGGCGCTTCGCACCCGTCTTATAGTTCAAATTTTAACTGTTGCATTTTCTGTGAGCATCTTCGCTTTATGCAATATAAAACAACTAGGCTTTCATGGCGCTTCGTGCCCTTTTACTATTTCAATTGTGAACATTTTCTTACTTTTTCTTACTTTTCTTCTTTTAACATATATTGTAAAACAAAAACAAACAAAAAGTTTGCGGATTTTATAAAAAAAATTTCGTAGATTTTCAAAATTTAATGGACAAACAAACAAACAAGCAAAGTATATATATATATATATAGATGATAACAAAAAAATGTTCGTGGATTTAATGATATTTTTTCGCGCATTTTCAAAATTTACCAATAATCAAAATCTTTTGAACTCAAATTTGTGTAATTTTGAGCATCCATGAAACTCCCTTGGGTCACGTTTATTGGATACAAACACCCAGACACCCAAGCAAAGTATATATATATATAGAGAGAGAGATGGCGCGCGCCGAGTTATACAAAAAAGTGTAGTTCCAGAGCTTTGACATAACAGGATAAAAGCTAAAGGTTTAAAAACGACTTAAAATGGCCAAAATAATATTTTCCGTATATTATATTACTTTCTTTGTATTTGATCAAGGAACTCGGAACCGGCCGTTAAAATTTTAAAAACGTATTTAAAACAAATGATTCAGACTCGAAAAAACTGTCTAAATGTACACTTTCAGCAAAAGTTGTTTTTGCAAATTTAAAAAAAAGTACATCAGATTTCATTTCCCTGGACTATTTCTAAGAAAATTATATAATGTAGGATGAAATCAAGAAAGAAAAATTCTGAAGTTATGTTTGGCTTTTTTAAGTTTTACCGCGATAATGTAGTAGAGTTTTCGAGATATTAAGCTAAATATCAGAAGTGAAATGGGAAGAGATACGTCGCTCATCTATTTTCTGAAATTGGTCAATAAACACGTAAGGTTAGTCTATGCAGGGTTACCTACAAAGGATGATACTTCAGAGACGACTATAGAGAATTTATTCAACCTTCTTTCTTACATTCGTGGATCCCATGCATCTGCAACCTAATTTCTTACGTTGTCAAATCATGTATAACATCTCTTAAGTCCTATGTTTAGAAAAGAATCCCGAGGACGACATTTAAATCCTTTTCATTATAGTTTCATCCTTTGATACGAAATGATCAAATTATCCTGAAATACCAACAAATTAAAAGACAGGAATGAATAATCAATCCATTACCTCTAATTAATCGTATGTTTTCTCCATCCTTAATTGCATCATCTGATTCTATATTTCTCATCACCTAGAAATACACGGGAATATGAAGACGACGTAAAAACTTCCTGGATTCTAAATATTGATAGAGGTCAATGAGTGTTTTTAAAACAAGAATTAACTGTACTGCAATTAACAAACTATACATCTTGAAGGCTCCAAGGATACGACATTTTGTGAGTAATTTGTGTTTAGTGAAGCAATACTGTTTTGTTTAAGACTGTTACCTATACACCTGTATCACGTGACCAGAACTTCCACCAATAGCAGTGCAGTATCATAGTCATGTGAAAGCATTTCGAAAATAAAAAATCGAAATTTAGAACAGAATATTAGGGCTATGTGAGCAATTGTTTGAGATTTCTAACAACAAGTTCATAATTTCGATATTCTTTCGGAAAGTTCAATATACGGAACAGTACAAATTTAAACAGTGTTTAACAGCCTAGAAACCAACAAATTGAAATATATTTAACCCTCTCTACTCTTCAGTCAAGATCGGAGAAAAGCTCCAGATGTTCTCTCTAAGGAGGGTTTAAACTTTTCAACAAATATCTCATCCAAACTGAAGATCATGGGGGGGGGAGGGGTACGTTCGCTCTAAACTTCTGAATGGTGGGGGGGGTGGAGCACCACCCAAGTTCCGCCTCTAAATTTATGCTTGCATTGCAAAACTTACTTTGAATTTCAATAGTTTAAGCAACATTTATCTAAAATATAAAAGTTTCTTAAAAGTTTATAAATTTAGTTTAACCTTTTCTATAATATTCTGGACAACTTGATGATTCATGTTCTCCAACCTTCTCTGGAACACACTAAACACAGTGAAGATGTAAATACAAAATATTCTAGTACAATAGATGGCAAAATCGTGCCGCAGGCGAAATTTTTTTTGACTTAAAAGACTCAAAAAGAGTCAAAATTAACGACTAAAGACTAAAAAACTAGATTTTTAACTTTAAGGAACAAAATTAACGGATTAGAACAGGAATTTAGGAACAATTAAAAGATTGTTCAGGAATTAAGAACAAAAATAAATGATTAGAACAGGAATTTAGGAACAATTAAAAGATTGTTCAGGAATTAGGAACAAAATTAAAGGATTCGGACAGGGATTAAGGAACAATAAAAATATTGTTCAGGAATTAGGAACAAAAATAATGGATTAGGACAGGGATTTAGGAACAATAAAAAGATTGTTCAGGAATTAGGAACAAAACTATTGGATTAGGACAGGGATTTAAGTTGGGTCGGACACAGTATTAGGAACGGGAACAATAATAGGAACATTAGCAATTTAAAAACAAAATGAAATTACTAGTTATACTTAAATGCATCAAAATTAGGACCAATATTACTATTTTGATAAATGAGTATTGATTAAGGAACATTACTAGATATGAACAATATTATAACTTAAGTCTAGTTTCTTACAAATTTCTAATTCTAAATTTATCGTTAACAGTAACATTTACTTGTTGTCGTTGATTTTTAAATTAAACTGAAGAAAAGAAAGTCAAGATTTCCATTAAATAAAAAAAAGCTTGAAATTGAAAAACACATACGATTTATAAAATTGGGAACATTTTTTGCCTCGAATCTGTCAGGGGGTGGCGAATGTCCCCCCGCCACACCCCTGTATCCGCCCCTGTGTTTTTACACTTTTTTATTTAATCTTGGAAAACATGTCAACTAATGTGAGAACATTTTTTCCTTGTTTTAATTGGTCTATTTCTCTGTCGATAAATACAATGTTTTTGATTTAGAGAGACTCATAAAAGTAATTTTCTCATCCCTTTCACTTTGCAACCTAATGGTGTAAACCTTTGATTATTAACTTCCAAACATTCAAAATATTTGATCTGACAAAATTCATAGTTTGAAATGACAAAGGTTTACGACATTGGGTTTGAATAGATACAGGCTTAAAGAATCTTTCCGTTCTAGAATTATTTTTAAAAAATTTATGTAAAACGCATAGTTCACGGTTGTGAATTTTTACATTGCACTCTACAAATGCCGTCTACAATCCCTTTAAATATGTTATTAAAAGATCAGTTTTTTTTTTTATCCTCCAGGGCTTACTTTTGGATTGATTTGTTCATCTCATCTATTCAAAATTTGAGTAATATAAGATATAAAGGATAATTTTTTGAGTAAAATTTAGATTTAAAAATTTATGAGATAAATTTGCCAAAAATTTCATAATATTAAATGAATGATATTGTTTTTACGTATAATCCATATTATATATTGTAATTTGCTTTTTTTCTTTGTGAATTATCATTCATGGATTTCCGTTCAATCAACATACAGCAACGTGGAAGGATTTCCGCTCAATTAACATAAGGCAACGTGGAAAGATGTCCGCTCAATTAACATAAAGCAACGTGGAAGGATTTCCGTTCGATTAACATCACGCAACATGAAAGGATTTCCGCTCAATTAACATAAAGCAACGTGGAAGGATTTCCGCTCAATTAACATAAGGCAACGTGGAAAGATTTCCGCTCAATTAATATAAAGCAACGTGGAAGGATTTCCGTTCAATTAACATAACGCAACATGAAAGGATTTCCGCTCAATTAACATAAAGCAACGTAGAAGGATTTCCGTTTAATTAACATAAAGCAACATGAAAGGATTTCCACTCAATTAACATAAAGCAACGTGAAAGGATTTTCGCTCAATTAACATAAAGCAACGTGAAAGGATTTCCGCTCAATTAACAT